AAAAAGAAAAAAAACAAAAAAAAAGACAAAAAAACAAAAAAAAAAACACCAAAAAAAAAATCCAAAAAAGAAATTCAACAAAAAAAAAAAAAAAAAAATAGTATAAACTACCCAAAGAAGCAACCACAAGACAATTCACAAGCAAATGCTGAAAGACAAGAAGAAATACCACAAGACAATTCACTAACAAATCACCAAAGGACCAAAAAAATACTACAAGACAACTTACCAGCAAACACCAAAAGACCAGAAGAAATACAACAAGACAATTCACTAGTAAAATGTCAAAAGACCAGAAAAATTTCACAAAGGACCAGAAGAATTATCACAAAGGACCAGAAGAATTATCACAAGACAATTACCAGCGAAATGTCGAAAGACTAGAAGAAATTTCAAAAAACAATTTACCAACAAATGCCGAAAGACCAGAAGAACTGCCACAAGAAAATTTACCAGCAAAATACCAAAAGACTAGAAGAAATAACACAAGACAAATTCACCAGCAAACATCGAAAGAACTAGAAAAAATACCACAAGACAATTCGCCAACAAAACGTCGAAGAAATAGAAGAAAGAACACCAGAAAAAAAAAAATGCCAAAAAAGAAAATCTACAAAAAAAAAAAAAGAAAGAGTAGTATAAAACTACCCAAAGAAGCAACTACAAGACAATTCACCAGCAAACGCTGAAAGACCAGAAGAAATACCACAAGACAAATCACCAGTTAAACATCAAAGGACCGGAAAGAAATACTACAAAAAAAAAAATCACGATTATTAATTGTTTATATTTGATCTCCAATCTAAAAAATGATTGGTCGATCATACCAATTCCGGGATTTGGTTGGAGAGTCAGAATGCACGTGACCCGGAAAATCTCACCTACATCCTGTATCCGTCCTGCATATATCATTACGATCGGGCTATGAAGATCTGCAGGGTTGATCGTTATAAACAATGAAGGTGCACCGTCTCGTATAATAACCACACAAATTTCATTACAAAGTCGATTACATGATTGATTTGATCCTATAATTTTTTCACCAACAACCTTAATTTTTTTTAATAATCCAAGAACAGCTTTATTAGTCACCGGTAGTTTATTTTGTTCTTGTTCAATCGCAACTTTCATATCATCTAATGTGAGTTTTGAAATTAATTCAGATGATCTTTTAAAGTCTGATTGTTTTGTCATTATATACGTCCCTAATGCAACTTCTCTCCTTCGTAGTATATCAAATACAGCAAAAATAAACGAACAATGATGTCTAAATTTTTGATCATGTAGGCGTAATAAATGATTAATATATTGCTTAAATGGTATGTGCTGCTTGCGAAATTTGTCTTCGTGATCACCAACTCCATAGAGGAATAAAACGGAAAATGCAGCAGGCAGAAGTGTGTGATCAGTATACTCGTTCTTGGGTTTATTTGAATGTGGCATTAATATTGCATCTAGGTAATTCTGCTCGTTTTCAACTGATTCTTGTATTATTTTTCCAAGCAAATTTAAAACACATTCTTTTTCAAAGGTGTGAATGTTGTTTGTCATGCCCGAACTTCTTAATTCTGAAACACCGCCAACAGGATTATGTGATTTAATATACTCAGATATTTCTCTGTTATTACATGTTTCATCATCTTCTGCATCGCTCAAATTATCATCCAAATCACCATTTACATTATTCTCATCTACTGGATCTGCTACATATCCGGTATAATGTTCTATTTCTTTTGGATAGATATTAACTATTATCGTTGTTGCCATTAGAGTGGCTGGTACATCGTCTTCCGGTAAAGTATCAAATGTCATTTCATCTAATTCAACATTTTTATAGAGAATATTGTGATTCATTAACCAGTATAATGCCATGGTAATTTTTTTTTCTTATGCGCAATACTTTTTTTAATTGTTCTTCCGATGGTTGTTCTTGTCCAACAAATACAACTTTTAAATGGTCACAAAGCCGGTATACAGGTAAGGGCAAAATAGTAGCAAGCGAAGTTGGATTCTGAATAAATGTTATCACATGACCTTTTAATTTATGATGGGAATGTTTTTGATTCGTAAGCTGGATCAGGTTTATACATAAGTAACCTGAAGATATTAATAGTTGCTCCGGGATCGTTAATTCTTGAAGACACGAAGGTGTTGATCTGATCCACATGTTTGCCATAGAAAGAGGTGGAATTTTGCCTTTATCCAACCATCGTTTGCAATTATTGCATATTCTAAGGTCAAATAGATTTTTATTATCCGTGTTTTTTACAAATCTATTTTTATTCAGCAAAACCTTATAACCACTCTTATCGATATGTGGATGTCCATATATAAAGTCAGTTTTACATGATAATTTTTCCAATTCTTTATCGATCTCGAGCAGTAGTA